GGAGAGGTTTGGTAGGCTTCAGCCTCCGACCTTCAGTGGTGCAGAGGGCGAGGATGCCCAGGGTTTCTTAGATAAGTGCCAGAGGATGCTTCATACAACAGGTACTCTGGAGACTAGCGGGGTCACTTTTACTACTTATCAATTTTTTGGAGGTGCCTTTACTTGGTGGGAGGCTTTTGAGAGGCGTAGGACTGTTGGTACAACACCCCTTATCTTGCAGCAGTTCTCCATCCTCTTTCTGGAGAAGTATGTGCTGCAGTCCCGCAGAGAGGAGCTACGTAGAGAGTTTGAGTGGTTGCGTCAGAGCGAGATGACTATGACGCAGTACGAGATGAGTTTCTCCAAGTTAGCTCGTCATACTATTTGGATGGTTCCGATAGATAGAGAGAGGATTAGGAGGTTTGTTGATGGCCTCACTTACCAGCTTTATATTATCATGACTAAGGAGAGGGTGATTGGTGCTACTTTCGAGGAGGTTGTGGATATTTCTCAAGAGATTGAGTCTGTTCGTCACCAGGAGCGAGAGGAGAGGGAGGCCAAGAGGCCTCGAGGATCTGGTAGTTACAGTGGTACTCCTTCGAGAGGTCAGTTTTAGCACGGCAGAGGCCATCCATTCAGGCATGCTCAGCCAGCTCACCCATGTTATTATGAGGCATCATTAGGTCATGGTTCTCACAGTTCTCATCAGGGCCAGTCATCACTTAGTGCCTTTCCAGCTTAGAACTCACGGGACGGTGATCAGAAGCCATGAGTTCGAATTATTCGACTTGTAGTGGACTGTTTTTTGTTACTTTTTGGCTGTCTATTTTGCTGTTGTTTAAAGGATTTTTTGAGGTTAAATTGTATGGAGAAACACCACATAATGGAAAAATGGTGGATTAGTCGTTCTTTGTAACATTTTGGGGTGTTTGGCACTACTACAGTTGTCGTTTTGGGTATGAAGTGATTGGAGTGTATTGTGCTGTTGTAAGCTAAATATAACATGGATTTTGACTTAAATCCACTGTAGGAGGTAATTATATTGTGTTCTTGCTTCTGCTTAAGGTTATCTTGGTATTGATTAAGTTAAATGGATGGACTAGACATGAACTAGTGAATAAAGTTGCTAATTGAGGATAATTGGAGTTGTGAATTATTTTTCTTATTATAATATATGGTATAAGGCTGGAATCATTGATGAATTAATTCATTATCGTGTTAATGGTACTATTAAGTTAAAGTAATAAGTCTATAAGGTATGATATGTGGTATATGAATTCCAATTGGAGCTTGCCGCCCGTCGTGAAATAGTTGTGACTTGTTGTTGTTTTATGGTGTCTTGTTATTGATAATTATGTATTGCTGGATTTCTCTAGTTATTGTTGCTAGTATATAGTATTGGAGGAGGCTCTTGTTACAGGGGAGATGCTACCCAAATTACATAAACGAGCTACTTGTTTAATTTGCGGATTTAGTCTTTTACTCAACACCGATTTTGAATCTCCTTATGCTATGATAGATTTAGTTGAGTTGTTTGAATAATTTCTTGGAAGGTATTAAGGACTCAATGAAGTTAAGGTATGTTAAAGCTATTAATTCTTTTCTTTTGGCATGATCCATATGATACAAACAAAATGTGCAAATGCGGAACTTCATAAATGGCTCTATTCATAGAAGTACTAGGGGTGCCTATTTTCTTGATTCCCCATGTGTCCTATTATTATATCTTCTGTTCATGGGTCTCAGAAAAATACGTAAGTTGCTAGCATTTATCCGAAGGCAAATTGATCTTATGACATTCCAAGAAATCTCACTGACTTACTTCATTATGCATTGCATTCATTTATACATGTGCATTGACCCATGGCTAGATGACATTATATACACATATATTATATGTATATGGGATATGGGAAAAAGTTATGGCATTATATACGCACCACCACCTGATCAGCTGGTATATATTGATGATTTCACCCACAGTGGCTGAGATGATATGATGGGATGCCCTCAGAGGCTTGATGATATTATGTACGCATATACCTATGTATGATATGTCATTTATATGCACATGCATGACATTATAAATTTTTCATGATTTACAGAGCTATTCAGAATTACAGGTTGCATTCTTTACTCCATGTTTCTTTTATGTCATTTATATACTGCTGTCATGCCTTACATACTCGGTACTTTATTTGTACTGACTTCATTTTTGCTTGGGGACGCTGCATTTCATGCCTGTAGGTCCCAATAGACAGGTTGAGAGTCCTCCTAGTAGGCTATCAACTCAAAAGAAAGTGTTAGAGCGCTCCACTTGCTCCAGAGTTGCCTATTTGGTTAGTAAGATTTAGACATATATTGATTAGTATGGCGGGACCTGTCCCGAACTTTATGACATTAAAGTACTCTTAGAGGCTTGTAGACATATGTCATAGATATGTATACTTGTATAGCCTTGTTGGCCGATGTTTTGAGTATACAAATGATCATGTCGGCCTTATAGGCCTGTATGTCACATGTATAAGTTTTTATATCATGTTGGGTCATCCTATGTCTAGTATTTGCTTTTGTTTTATTTTGGTTATCTCATGATGCCCCTTCTGGCCCATTTACCCATGATATTATGATAAGAAAAGATATGTTACATTGGTATTCGGTTAAGTAAGGTACCGAGTGTCCGTCGCGGCCTTATGGTTTGGGTCGTGACAAATAACCATAAAATTTGGTTTTAATACATTAACCATTTCTTGTTATAAATAAAAAATGAAACTAAAACGTCAATTCAATATCACAAGTGCAATTCAACAACAAGGTCTATATATGACCACTACTGCTTAACAAACGCTCAAAACTAGGTATCACTATACCACAATCATCTAATAAAAGTAACTATAGTCAATTGAATAAATACATATGTCCGAAAATGAAACATATGAACAAAAAATAGATAAGTAGGGAAGAGGGACTCCATGTGCTGCAAATCGGATCAAGTAAAATAGCTCACCACGAAGTCTACAATAATACTCCTACTCATCTTAATGGGCACCGCTAATACTGGTCTTAGAACCTGTACAAAATATGCAAACGTGTAATATGAATACAAAACCACGATACTCAGTAAGTATCCAATCTAGCCTCGAAGAAGTAGTGGCAACGGATTGACACTGAAACTTACTAGAAAACCAATAATCAGATAAAGCATGAATCAGATACAAGATAAGACATAATAACACCAAATACGATATGAAATCAACATACATAATTCATGCAAAATTTTAGGCATGCTTCACATATATTAAGAAATCAAATTAGGTGTTAAATACCTTAATCATCGCATCAAGACATGATACATGTCAACAATATTTGTGTAAGTCAGCTGCATGAATCTGTGATATGTACCTATGCATGCTCAAGATTCCTTTCTTTATACCTCACAACACAAATCAATGTGCCTAACACAAGCCACGTGTCCAACCAAGAACCACTAATCTCGGTGCCTGCGCTCATAAGGCCCAAAGTTATATGGGCAATCATCTGACTCCGAAAGGACGTATCCATATCTAAGTGTATGATCATTAGTCAATCATTGCGGTGCGTGACCCGTTACAGTCATAATATCATCAATAATTGATAATCAATATCTGCTCACATTGTCCTTAGTGACAAATTCCTAAATATTTTCATAATATCCAACTCTTCAACTCATGAATATGTATATGAAATAATATAATTATAAGGCACCAGACATAGCAATAGAAACGCGAATAAAATCTCGTGGAGCTAAAAGATGGCTATGACAAATCAACAACAACAACAACAACAACAACAACAACTTCCCAGTATAATCCCATCAAGTGGGGTCTAGGGAGGGTAGGATGCACGCATCCTTATCCCTACCCTGGAAGGATAGGGAGACTGTTTCGGAATGACCCTCAGCTAAAGAAGGTGAAGGAAGCCCTGATAGCAAGACAAATAGTTAGAAAACTAAATCGGAGATAACAACAAAGAATATGGAAGGAGTACCGATAACAAGTAATAGCAAGATAGTATATTTATACAAATAAGTCCAAGGCAACACACGAGAATATGACGAAGTCCTTCTAGCAAACTACAGAATTACCGAAGGTAAGTAGTAACAAAACAAGACACGTGGCTATAGCAAACTAAGGAAAAAAGGGGGTACCATACTAGCACTAATACTATCGAACTAGGGAAGGCAAAGGGAAACGCACAACTACCTACTAACCGTCCACCCTAATATTCCACCTCCACACCCTTCTATCTAGGGTCATGTCCTCGGTCAGCTTAAGCTGCATCATGTCCCGCCTGATCACTTCACCCCAAGACTTCTTAGGTCTACCTATACCCCTCCTCTCACCTCCCAAGGCCAACCTCTCACATCTCCTGACTGGGGCATCTGTGGTTCTTCTCTTAACATGCCCAAACCATCTCAACCTTTCCTCACGCATCTTTTCCTCCACAGGGGCCACTCCCACCTTATCCCAAATAACTTCGTTCCTAATTCTATCCAATCTAGTATGCCCACACATCCATCTCAACATCTTTATTTCTGCTACTTTTATATGTTGGACATGTGACTTTTTGATTGGCCAACACTCTGCCCCATACAACATAGTCGGTCTGACCACTACCTTGTAGAACTTACCCTTAAGTTTCAACGGCACATTCTTATCACACAAGACACCAGAAATGAGTCTCCACTTCATCCATCCTGCTCCGATATGGTGAGTAACATCCTCATCTATCTCCCCATTCATCTGAATTATAGATCCCAAATATTTGAAACTCTCTCTCTTGGGAATGGCTTGTGTATCGAGTCTTACATCCCCGTCCACCTCCTAGGTAACACCACTGAATTTGCACTCCAAGTATTCTGTCTTGGTCCTGCTCAACTCGAAACCCTTAGACTCTAGAGTATGTCTCTAGACCTCCAGCCTTTCGTTAATGGTACCTCGCGTTTCATCAATCGAGACTATGTCATACGCTAATAACAAGCACTAAGGCACCTCCCTTTGAATGTGACGCGTCAAAGAATCCATCGACAAGGAAAACAAAAACGGACTGAGTGCTGATCCCTGATGCAACCCTATCTCAACCGAAAAGTAGTCAAAGTCTCCTCCTGCTGTCCTCACCCGTGTCTTAGCCCCATCATACATATCCTGAATCACTCTAATATATGCTACAAGCACAACTCCCGACTCCAAACATCTCCATAGAACCTCTCTTGGTACTTTGTCATAGGCTTTCTCCAGGTCCATGAACACCATATGCAAATAATTCTTCACCGCCCTATACCGCTCTACCAATCTCCTCACAATGTGAATGGCCTCAGTAGCCGACTGTTTCGGCATGAAACCAAACTAGATCTCGGAAATAGACACACACCTCCTCAATCTCCCTTCAATCACCCTCTCCTACACTTTCATCGTATGACTTAATAACTTGATACCCTTATAGTTGTTGCAGTTTTGGACATCCCCCTTGTTCTTGTACAACGGGATCATCATACTCCCCCTCCACTCTTCGGGCATCATCTTCGTCCTAAAAATGATTTTAAACAACCTATCAAGCCATTCCAAGCCCTCCTTGCCCACACTCTTCCAGAATTCCACCGGGATCTCGTCCGGCCCAGTCGCTTTACCCCTACTCATCCTGCGCATAGCCTCTTCCACCTCCCTCACTCGTATGCGTCTACAGAACCCAAAATCTCGCTGCCTCTCCAAGTACTCCAACTCCCCCAACGTGATGCCCCTATCTCCCTCCTTTTTCAAGAGTTTATGGAAGTACGCCTGCCATCTCTGCCTGATCTGTGCCCTTTCCAATAAAACTCTTCCCTCCTCTTCTTTTATGCATCTCACTTGGTCCAGATCCCCGAGCCTTCCTCTCCCTCACCTTTGCTAGCCTGTACAATTTCTTTTTCCCGACTTTAACCCCAATTTCTCCATATAAATACTAAACGCCGCGTCCTTAGCTACCGTAACCGCCAACTTTACCTCTCTCGTAACCTTCTTGTACCCTTTCCTGTTGGCACTCTTCTGTCCCTCGTCTATACTCTCTACTAGCTTTAAATATGTCACTTTCTTTGCTTCCACTTTTTCTTGTACCTCTTCGTTCCACCACTGGTCCCCTTTATGGCCACCAGAAATCCCTTTGAGACCCCGAACACCTCTCTCGCCGCCTCTCTAATACAATTTGCTGTCATTGACCACATACAGCTTACGTACACGCTACTCCTCCAGGCCCCAAAACCAACAACTTCTCCCCCAACTCCTGGGACTTATCCTTAGTCAATGCACCCCACCTGACCCTAGGAATACCAGACATAGCCCTCATCTTCCTCGTCCACCTGATATCTAAGTCCATTATCAAAAGCATATGCTGGGTCGTAAGGTTCTCACTCGGGATGACCTTGCAATCCATGCATTGACCTCTATCACATTTCCGAAGAAGCAGATAATCAATCTGGGTCTTGGCCACTGTACTTCAAAAAGTTATCAGGTGCTCCACCTTCTTTCTGAAACAAGAGTTAGCAATCACTAGCTCAAAAGCTTTAGCGTACTCTAGCAGCAAAGTATCTCCTTCATTTTTATCTCAAAAACCGAAGCCACCATAGACACCAGCATATCCCCCAGGCGACCTCCCTATGTGGCCATTAAAATCACCCCCATATAATAAGCTTCTCGGTGGATGGTATACCCCACACCAACCCATCCATATTCTTCCAGAGTTGTCTTTTAACCTCCTCGTCCAAACCTACGTGAGGCGTGTATGCACTAACTACGTTCAGAGTATACCTACCCACGACTATCTTAATGGCCATCAACCGGTCATTCACCTTCTTAACCTCAATCGGTAGCTCCCTTAGGTCCTTGTCAACTAAAATGCCTACCCCGTTCTTCCCTTTCACCCTCCTTGAATACCACAACTTAAACCCATCAGTCTCCCGAGCCCTGTTCCCCCACCCATCAGCCTCATCGTCTTTTATGCATCTCACTTGGTCCAGATCTTGGGCCTTCCGCTCCCTCAGCTTTGCTAACCTGTACAATTTCTTGTTCCCGCCTTTAACTCCAATTTCTTTGTATAAACGACTAAACGCCGCGGCCTTAGCTGCCGTAAGCGCCAACTTTGCCTCTCTTATGTAATTCTATTTATCACAACGACTCAATTAGAAAGTTAAGCTTACACAAGTTTAATCATCTGAATGGACATGAGTCATTTGTATGACTATGATTAATAATAAAGTTCATCATGGCGAAACAATCCTTTATGCCAAAATCAACAAGTCATAACCTTAAGCATGCTCCTAAGTCATATTTGCAAATTATCACGTAGTCATAGAATCAATGAAAACATGGATATTAATTTTAGATAATCCAAACAAAGCATAATTCAAGTCAACAATACTAGATATGGTTAAAACCTAGCTAGGCATATACGCTCGTTACTATGGTAATGTGATAGGTCATTTTGACTTCTAGTCCTTATTTCCATGTTCAGAGATCTCGATTAACCCCATTTAGTATTTCTCGATTTGCGTACGCAATCCGTATCTTTTTTGAAAAGATTTTATGTGAAAAATTGGAAAAAGCATGAATTTGAACCTTTAAAAATGATTTGAGTTGACTATGGTCAACATCTTATGTAAACAACCCCAGATCGGTATTTTAACAATCATGGCGGATCCGTATCATGATTTTGAACTTGGGCATATGCCCAGAATTTAATTCGAAAGTCCCTAACTTGATTTGACGTAATTGGTTGAAAACTAGTAATTTGAAGGTTAAAGATTTTTAAGGTTTGACCGTAGGTTGACTTTATGGCTACCGGGTTCGAATTTCAGTTCTAAAATTTGGTATAGGTTCATTTGACTATTTAAAACTTCTCTGAAAAATTTGGTGCAAAGCGAAGTTGATTTGATTGAATTCGGATGCTCGGTTCTGAATCTGGAAGTACTTGAGTTTCTTTGTAAATTTCATGCATTTTATGTCCAATTCAGTTCTAGGCACTATTTCGGTGTTTTGATTGCGCGAATGAGTAAATATAATGTTATTGTAATTGTGTGCATGTTTGGTTTGGAGCCCGAGGGGCTCGGGTGGGATTCAGATAGGCTACAGGTCTTTTTGGACTTAGAGTTGCAGGATTCAACTATTCTGCTGATATCTAGTGTCTTGTGCTTCGTGATTGCAGAGGGGGAGCTGGGGTAGGGGAAGATTCCTTCTACACGAACGTGAGGATGCGGTTGTGAATATGAAGCAGTGGGGGATTACCTGTCACGAATGCAACCTCACGCACACGAATGCGATGTGTTAATAGGTATGGGGAAAAGGCTGAGCTGATACTCTATGCGAAATGCAAGCCTAGGCTCGCGAACGCGAAGGTTTGGTGGGTGAGGCCATCGTGAACGAAGAGCGTATCTCGCGAACACGAAGGCCACTTGAGCCGTTGTTCTTCGCTATCACCTAGGTCCTTCACGAACACGAACAAGACCTGACGCCCAGTGACTTAAAGTTTCAAAATCAGGATCTCTTCTCATTTTTGGCCATTTTCAAGTTTGAGCTCGGCCTAGAGGCGATTTTGAAGAGATTTTTCATCCCAATTTCATAGGTTAGTAGATTTTAACTTGTTTCCTTATATTTCCATAAACACCCATTGATTCTAATCTTTAATGTATGCTTTTTCATGGTAGAAATTAGGGATTTAATTAGAAATTTAGGATTTTGAGAAACTGAGATTTAGACCTCAAATTGAGGCTGAATTTCGAAACTAATCTCATAACTGGGCTTAGAGGTGAATGGGTAGTTGGATTTTTGTTCGAATCTTGGGTTTTGACCAAGCGGGTCCGGGGTTGACTTTTGTTGAATTTTTCCAAAATTATTGAAGATTGAATCTTTTTCGTTCATAGGTAGTTTATAAAGCCTATTTTGAATTATTTGAACTATAATTGCTAGATTTGGTTGGTTTGGAGATTTGTTCAAAAGGCAAGGCCGTGGTTGGTTGATTGCTTTGATTCGCGAAGTGAGGTAAGTATTGGGTCTAACCTTGACTTGAGGGAATTAAGAATTCTTGAACTATGTGTTATGTGGATTATGTGAGAAAATAACATATATGCAAGGTGGAGAGTATATATACGCCGTCATAATGTTTGTTTTCACATTTTTTATCTCATGATTTATCTTGTTTCATGCCTTATTTGACTTCTTTTCCATAATTGTTACTTGTCATTTAATCATTCCTTGCCTTAATTTTTCTGTTACTCTTGTGACCCCATGCTTATTTGCTACTTGCCCCTACTTGTCTTACTTGCTTACCTTAATTGTCACATGCTTTAATTGACCTATTGTTTCTGTAATATTTGTTGTGTTCTATAATGTAGTTTCATTTGTGTGAGTTGTTTAGTGGTCAGATACCGATAAATTAGTAAAGTTAAGACGTCAAGTTGTTAGAGATTCTTTGATTATTATGTGATTCCTTATTTCCTTGTACAATTACCCTCTTGATGTAGAAATGCTTGTAAATTTGATTGTTGAATTGTTCATGTTGACCAAAATTATTTGGGGAGCGGGTTGCACACCACAACAGAAGTGGAAAGGTAATGAAATAAAAAGGTAGAATAATGACGGATTATGATATTGATAGAGGATGATATGGTGGGTCGGGTTACGCACTGCAACATATTGTATATGTGGTACTTGTTTGTGATTGTTGAATTGGCCTCGACATTTTAATATACGATTATGAGACTTGTTATTCTGGGCTCTCTGATAGTAGAGTTTCGAGTTCATTTTCATGAATTAATTGCTTTACGTCCACTTCCTATTTCTTTTCATGTTATTATTATTAATATTTTGTATTGGTCATTGTAAGTGGCCCGCCTTAGCCTCGTTACTACTTCGTCGAAGTTAGGCTCGCACTTATATAGTACATGGGGTCAATTTTACTCAAACTACACCTATAATTCTTGTGCAGATACCGGAGTTGGTCCCAACAATGCTTAGTGAGATTGCTCAAATCTAGCTACTGGTGGAGACTTGAGGTATAGCTGCACGATGTTTGCAGCCCCAAAGTCCCCTCCCCTTCTATGCCACTATTGCAATTTATTTTGATTCAAACAATTGTGTTTTATTCAGACTATTATCTATAGTACTCTAGATGCTCATGTATTTGTGACTTCAGTTTCTGGGATTCTATTTGGATTACGTCATTCAATAGTTTATCACCTTATGTCAGACTATTCAGTTATTATTGTTATCATTTGATTTGAATTGTTAAAGCTGGTTATTAAATCTAGCAAACGTTGGCTTGCCTAGCAAGTAAAAGTTAGGCGCCATCACGGTCCAGAGGGTGAGAATTCCGTCTCTTATTTTAAGAAATGAATAGCCAATAGATAACCTATGAGGAGAATTCCCTCATACAAGGATAGACAAGAGACTTATCTCTACCCGACAAGCTTTAATCAACAACAAACCAGCTTTTCGTTCAATTCCAACTCCAAACGACTCGAATCTAGTCAAATACAACTCAATAATGTCAAACAAAGCCATAGGAATCAGTTCCAAACAAAACCATAGGAATCCTCAAAAGTTAACAAAAGTCAATCCGGGCATACATGGTAAAAATTCGAGTCAAGGCGTAGATCCCGACTACCCATAACCCCACATATATGTAATTAAAATCTAGTCCAAATCGACCCTCAAATCCCTAAAATATACCCTCTTAAGTTATAGGCAAAACCCACAAATTTCACTTTAAAATTCCAAATTTTAAGTGAGGGGAAACATTATATAAAACCAAATCCAAGTAAAAATTCTTTACCTCCAATATAGTTGTTACACCCCAAGTTTTCATACGTGAGAGTACGTCGTAAGTCATTGATGTAAGCTCGAAAATAAGATTATATTTGGAAGAAAATAAAGTAAGTTAATCATGTTACCTTGGAGGTTACAAATATTTAAGATCATGAATAACGAGTACCAAGAGGGTTGGAAATCTTAGAAGCTAAACCAATTGAAGAAAATAAGTTTCGTCAAAAGTCGACAAGTTTGGAATGTTATATCATGTACTTTTGGGGTGAGACTAGGGTTCTTAACATGATAAGGAGGTTATTATATGAGTTATTTTAGTCGTATGATAATCGTTTTCTACATTTTGAAGGCAAACAAGTTGTGGAACAAGAGTTGGCAAAGGTCATCACAAGTTACATTCATAAATTTGCTGAAATTTAGGTCAAATGTATCTGGGAATTTCTCCAAATATACTTTGAATCATGGGGTGTTCTAACTACCAAATTTAATATCTACGAGTCTAGTTTCTAACTCATTAAACCGTTTGTCAATACGACATCGGAGTAGAGAGATATTCATATT